TCATCTCTCTGTTTCTACTTTCTCGTTCTCCCTTAATTCCTTCCTTCTCTCTTTTCTTCCCCTTTCTTTGTCCTTCACTCTTTCTCCCCTTCCTATAAATTGATTGATCATCGTGTCCATGGACACCATAAAGACTGGCCACCAGTAAGTATAAAACAACACGTTTATTTTCCTGAACTGCCTTACTGCCATAAAAGTCACGCAGAATCATTAAGAACGTTAATTACAGGTTTGTTATCATGAAATTTTAATAGATAAACTGACACGAATGAATATTTATTTCATTTCTTATTAGGTAATACATTCAATTCTTCGAATCAAATTGGTGCTTTATTGAGATTCGTTTTGGGGTAATTATATAGTAAATTCAGATTACCATATCAACCATTCGTCACTCAGACTGATTTAATATTTTTGCTGAAATGATAATGATTCAAATATCATAAGACGATATAAGAACAATATATCTTTGTGATCAGCTTCAAATGATCACAAATCACCTTTATTCAATAAATTGTTAAGTCCGTGAGCTATAGAAAAAGATTAAGTGTCCAATACTGATTCAAACATTTAAATATCCAAACACACACGTCTAATACGAATCCAAAACAATGAGCTATTCCAATCTAATGAAATTAACATGATATAAAATTCGTGAATTGGGTAAAGCGCACATGATTATAAATGGTCTAATAACACCCATATGAAATAGGCCTATAGATAAGGCCTATCATCATTTTTTCCCCCTCCCCCCTTTAATTTGATAACGTTCTGAAATAATCATAAGCTGCATAAGCCCTCAAATCATCGTCATTGAACACAATCAGAAGAAGGAAGTATCACAAAGTTGGTATAAACCATCATTTTCAACCCCCCCCCGTAATAACGATGGTGGTACATGTATAACACTATCACCCCATTAAACCTAAGAAAAAAGACAAATCAGATTACGAATACAACAGGAAAGAGGTTATACAAAAATTGCACTTATTTAGCACATATCATGTATAACACAAGTTAAGTCAATGCTATCTTTTAACAGAGAGAGAGAGAGAGAGAGAGTACACTCATGGACCTCTTCATAATCTTCAATATTCTCTAATACAAACAGCACCAAAAGTTAACAGAGTAACACATTATTTACAATTTACTCCAATATGGGATACTCCAAGATTCTGTCCGATACGTTACCGCCCGAATTAAAGATCTCAATAACCTGTTAGTCCTACTAGAGCTTGAATCAGACAAAACATCAAATACAACGATTGTTATGTTCACAATCAATTCCATAAATTTCTTTCAATTAAAACTTAGTAACGCATGGGACATACATTATAATTACCCATACAAATATTAGAAGGCTCTGCGGTTTATGTTGAAAGTACTTTGTAAAACAATTTTTAGTATAAAAAAGCACTGTGACGTTTCAGACAAAAGATAAACGTCTAGAAACTGAAAAGTGTGTTGAAGAAGAACTTTATTCGTTTGCATTTATTTGCTGTAAAAGTAAGTTTAGTTTAGAGATCACTTATTTAATCACCATAATCATGATAATAAAATAAAAATAAAACTTGTTATAATCATGAAAATCAGCTTTAAAAGCTGTTTTTTCAGCAAGGCCATGAAATACATTTTTATATTTACATATAAATAGAAATTGGGGAAATTACCCCAAAACCCAGACCCAGTCTTTGCGATGTATATGTATACATATATATATATATATATAGAGAGAGAGAGAGAGAGAGAGAGAGAGAGAGAGAGAGGGAGGGAGAGAGAGAGAACTATACGGTTGTTACGTTTTATATGAACAAAATCTAGATGGATACACGCATCCACCCTCTCCCTGATTTAAAATAGTTCATTTGACATTGGAAAGACGAGAGAGACAGTATAACAAAAGAACGGTAAAATAAGATCTCAACATTACTGGTCCTCATATAGGCCTATTCCGCGCTGTTTTATCAAAACCAAACTGGGGGTGTTTCACAAAACTTGTCATCAGTGACAAATGACAGTTTTTGTTATAAGCTGCTGAAATCCTTGCTTCTGATTGGTTATCAACAGATTTCTCACTGATTTTTGTAATTTGTCATTGAAAAAAGGCTTTGTGAAACGGGTCCCTGATCACTGATATTCCACATTAGTGACTGCAGAAATATACGTTTAGTCGGTTCGTCATAACATTTCAAATGAGTAGCCTACTAGAGGTCCATGTAATCGTTACATGCATTACATACATTACACGTCAAAATGATACCAATTTAAAAATACTCAGCTCGAGATCTCTATAATGATTATGAAATAATATAGTAAATAGGTACATATACATTTTCATCATAACGTAATAGTCAAACCAGCCCTGAATATATTCAAAGCTGTTTTAACATCTTGTTTACAATCCAGTTCGAATGAAATTACCGTCGCAGAATCTAAGCTGTTGGGGTCGCTCGTGCAAGAAGATCATTCGTTTCATTCAGTATCCTACTTCTAATTTTTGTCTCTTATTGATGGAGATTGTTGGTAATAAATTCAATTTGCTTCAATTACATTTTCAGGACAGGAATTACTTAACGCCTGAATTGATCACTTTCTCTTCTTTAAATTGGCTACACTGATATTTTTCTTTTATGTTACTCAGTTCTTATTAAAAGTCATGTGTCAAAAATATGGATAGTTACTACCTCGAAACGTTGAAAAAAATTGCCACTTTGCAACCGGAAATAGTAGTTTTAAACATTTCAACCTCTTGCCAACTCAAAGTTTTAAGATCATCGTGTTTGAAACTCCCGTGGCTAAACACAATATACTATAATAACATTACTAAATGGACGGAGTGTGTATGTGCAGCAACTTTGTCTACACATTCCTGTACAATATTACAATGGCTCTGAATTGAAAGATATCGAGCTAAACCATAAACCATGAGAAAAGTGAACGCTACCATGCAAGAAAATTGCATCGTCAAAGTTTAGTATGTCAAATTGTCTCTCTTTGGTGATAAACCACGGTATTTTTTTAGTGGTTTCAGCACAGTTAATTTATAGTCACTTTATGACCTGATGGACAAAAATAGAAATATAAAAGTTAGATAAAATTGAAATGGTTGTACATGTTATTTCAATGAAAGACATTACTATATACGCAAGGCATTTTCTACTAGAGAAAGACACATCAAAACTCTACAATTCAATGCATTGTATAAAAATGAATTAAAGTGTATTCACCTTTACCATCGATATTATATATTTTTCATATTAATAACCACCAATGCCCTTCTTCCACGAAAATACATTCATTTGGTACCCCATCATTATTTAGCAAGAATCGGCCCTATAACCGACATAGGAACATGGAACATTAAATAAGGCAAGTCAAGGTAAATGTTCATTTGCTACCACATATGATACCACGAATAATGGAAACAACACCAATTGACATCAAAAGTGTCATTATCCTTGATTTAAAAAAAAAATCTTTTATTTTATTTCAGTCAGATCCAAAATTAAGTGTGGCTTTAGACTCATAGTTTAATCAGCAAAACTAGTGCCGTTAAATGTAGTCAGTAACATATATGGGACAACATACCTTACACAGACTTGCCCTAATGTACAATGCAACATATCAAGAACCAAATGTGTACCTCCGCATTTTGCAGAAGACCTGATCAAAAACACAATAAGGCATATGTTTCTTCATTTCTTTGGCCTCAATGAAATAGGCGAATGTGGTAGAAGTTACCTACTCTACACCCGCTTTTTAAAGATGTTTAAATATAACAAATAATAAATGAAAATAATAGTTATTACGTTATTTGGGATATGATATTACACCAAGTTGCATGTACAAGTATGTATACTTATGACCGAACTAATAATGAGATGCATATAGAATAGTTTTAGACAAAGAATATGAACTTCTGATTCCACCATACACTCATTGCAGTTCGTCTTGCACCTGTGTATTAGTTTCCACAAAAGAAATCTCCAGAATAAATATTGATGACGTAGAATGCTTGACGCATTACGTCACATACGTCAGTAATCTAATCCGTCAAAATACGGGACGGATGCCTCATATGACGTAGGCCGTAATTGTTGCACAGGTGGCGTCATTTCAATTGATTACGCTATTCAAGCACACGAAGAAAAAATTGTATGTGTGCTAGTAATTTAACTGTGTTTATACTGCTCATTTTACTTCAACTATTTTTGTTAAATGTCACATAGTAAGGAAGGTATGGGAATATTTAGAAAAGAAATTGTACGAAAGATGTAAATTTTTGTTGAAATTAACTATCGAAAATGTTCTTTTTGGAATCACACCCAATATATTCAATAAAGGGATAGTTGAGTTTTGTTGCAGAGGGTGCTACACATAATAATTTTTGTGTTATAATTTCTTGTTATGTGAATTTCTTGCTATGTGAAATTATGAGGAAATTGGCTGGAATTCGCCTTATACCACAACAAGTTTTAAACGAGGTAAAGATTTATTCATCTTTTGTGTGAATATGAAGCAAAATTCATTTGAAAGATGTTGGTAAGGTTTCAATGGTCCTTTTGATTAAAGCTGATAAAATGTTTAATCAGTTGTATGTGATGCGGTGGCGGTCGGCATTCAGTGGCTGCACTCTTGAACTTGAAAGGCGAGAGCTGCAGTGGAGTTACCGAGCCAGAACAAAAGGGTTACTGCAACCGGGGGGGGGGGGTGTTTCACAAAGATCCTAAGTCGAACTTAACTCTAAGTTGGACTTAAATATTATGGAGAGCCATTTGTAACCTTATAATGAAATATATTCAAAAGCAAAAATTCAAGTATTTTAGAATTTTCATAATTTCCACATAAAGAAAATGAAATCTCCCATGATAATAGAAAATATGAATGATTTGAATCAACATTTTATGCCTTTTAAAATAACTTTTACAAAATATTGTCAATGATGCAAATGGCTCTCCATAATTGTTAAGTCCAACTTGGAGATAAGTTCAACTTAGGATCTTTGTGAAACATCCCCCCCCCCCCCGGATCTATTGTTCTGGCTTGTTGGGTTTTGGAGTGTGGTCGGTGGATGCTGGCTGGCACTGTGATGTACAGTAATGGCATCTTACCTGAGGTCCTCTTTCAATCTTTTTATTGAACAGATGTGAGTTTACAGTCAGTGGAATATGCACAGTAAGTGTCATATATTAACCTGCAATTGCTACTCTCCACCCAGGTGTTAAATGGGTACCCCGTAGGATGCGACCGTCATTGTTGGTCAAACAGTTTTTGAGCGTCATGTAACGCCTGGGTGGAATGCTCCCCGGGGAGTGGGCAAGCACTGAATCCAATGACCGGGGTAATAGTATATTTGTAAAGCACTTAGAGACATTTTTATTAAGCGCTATATAAAAATTAAATATTATTAATATCTATTATTATTATTTCCATGTTCGATGTTGCATCCAGTTATTGTTACTATCAATCAATAGCTGGTGTTATGAAGACATATGTATAATGCAATATTATGCAATAAAATGCCCTACTGTGGGTGAAGAAACAAAAATTATTTTTAAAACAGGAACATGTGTTCTTCGATGCAATGTAGACCACCCATGCTCATGCTGCTGATCGAAGGGACCAAATTCTTCGAATCTTCTGTTGTCGGCCATCATTGGTGAGAAGGGTTTGGGCGCAAAACTGATGAATCTTTCGGTCTAGTCTTCCTGCTCCTGACCATCATTTACCCTACTATATGCACCATTTATATACCATTCCATCCACATAAATTATTGTAGAAAGGCTGGTAGTCCTTTAAACGGCAAACCCTAGAACACCATTTACGTCTTACTCAAGATTTCTTGACGTAACAACGCGTCACTTTTCGTCCTATCTTTGGGCACCTCCAGAATCTCTTCGGAACCTTTTCGTCGGTCTTTGGATGCGTCACTCCCGCATTTCCCTACGTGCATCTTGAGTACGCCATGCTGGTGCATCTGGAAGAGGAGTCGAAACTCATCGTCCATGTTGTGAGATCGAGTGAAGGGTTCATCGTTGAAGTAGTGGCAAGGTTGTTCCTTGAGTTTGTCCTCGCTGACGCTGACAGGGAAAGGCCAGAAGCCGTAGAGATGGACCTCCTTGCACATCTGTAAGGCTACGTGGGTGATGTAAAAACCTGTCGAAATGGAAAAAGAAAAAGCAATCAGTCATCACGTTGAATAACGCAGAAAGCTGGTGTAGGTATTTGTAATTGTGAGAAGAAAAGAAACAGACATTCCGTTGAATTTCGTAGACACATGATTCTGAAAAAGTAGTCTTCAGACACACCATTTGAGTTTTGTGAGACAAATTTAAGATAACGGCGCCCATACAAGAAGCCACCATCAAGAATTACATAATCATATCCTCAGACAACGCATTTTACGCAGTCCTTATAGTACCTTTATACGCCATGATATAGATTAGTTCATGATCTCATCTTTATGAAAACCAATACTCTCACACCCTGTTGCATTCGCGTGATGTATATGCAAATTCCAAAAGAAGCTTACATATAGTTGTAACAACTAAATTATTCACACTGAATGAATGGTGGTGATGGTTATTTTACCTGATTGCTAAGAAAGGCATTAAAATGCTTTTAAGTAAGCAACCAGACGGCTGACTGCTTTAGGTCCTCTCCGAGGGACCTGATAATGAGGATTAATGCCTTACCAAAGGGCACTAGCACATCGCCTTGGTTTCGAACCTGGGTCACCGGGTTACGAGACCACTGCTCTACCGACTGAGCTATCGCACCTACACTCTTACAAAGTTGTGTAAATTTTCAAAAAGGTGACACATTAAAGCTTACATTTAAAGTATTCAACAAATGCCCTATTTCAACCTGTCCACCTTTCATTGATGAGTGTCGTAAAAACACAAAAACATCCAATTCTACAAGAGTTATGAATAATTAAGTTGTTAAATGTACATAAATGATCCCATGTCGGAAAGACCTTTGGCAAGCTTTAAATAACAGTTGTAAGTTTGAGATGCACAGTTCATTTTTGAAGAGGGATTTATAAAAAAAAAATATTTAAGAAAATTATCTAGTTACTTTGGCAGCGCGGCTATAACAGGGTAATGTGTGTAACTGAGTGCCATGAGCGTTAGAACCTGGTGGATACCGGCGCTATATAAATATCCATATTATTATTATCTTACCCGACGACAGGAGTTTGGTGTGGTTCCGCTCTCGCCAGAAGTTCAGAATCTTCACGAAATGATCTGGATTGGCGAGCACGGCGGTGGGACTGCTGATGTTGAAGTTATGGAATGCTTTGAGGCATATCTCGTTGAGATGGTACGCAGCAAAGCAAGGTAGCCAGATGTAGCCGTTGTATTCTGTGACGTTCCCTAGAAAGTCGTACATATCTTGAGTTGTTTTGAGTTCTCCGAACCTGAGTGTAAAAAGATCGAGATCAGTAAAAACAAAATATATACATTTAAAATATTCTATGCATAGTTGAGGCGTGAAGAAGAACAATGAAACAAACAGCGGATATTGGATGATAGGGTAACTTTGGCGTGTCATGGTTTTGAAAAAAGTGAGTAATGTAATAAATAATTTTTCGCGTTGAAATAGTAAATTATCAAATCTATTTTCACTTATTTTTCAAATACTATCTTTTTATCTTTTCGTTTCAACATTTATTTAAAAAAAGGATATAATTCACAAAAAATATTTGAACATTATCTCTGAAACTACCACTAACAGCTATTGTAGTATGAATTCAAACGCCAGACTCAATTTATGTTCATTCTATTTATTTACGGTCCTATATCTATCTAAAACAGGTTGCATGTACATGTATGATTTTTAAATCTCTTGATAAATTATGTCTGCTGCGTGATGAATTGCGGGTTAACAGCCAAAGCCATGTGTTATCCATGCACTGCAATGCTGAACAGAAGTCGTTTATGCTAAAATATAAGCAATTCATTGGATTTCTTTCTTACCTTTTGTGGAAAATACTTGGGTTCATGGTTGTGAGATTACTTTTCGAGCCTGCATCTTTTCTGAATGGTGCAATGGGAGCTATATTGCATCTGTGATAAAGAAATGATAGAATGAGTTGCAGTATTTGTCAAAACAGTGCTCACTAATGCAATGTGAGTGGTAGTCAAAAGCTAAACTATAATACACGTGGTAGGATTTCTTCCACTTCCTTGCATTTCCCCGAGAGCTCCCGAGTCTTTTAGATACGGGTAAAACATGTTTAAAATGTAGGGTTATGTATTTAAAGAAGAAACCACAAGTTTGTCAGAAGTATGATTGTGGAAATAGGAATACAACTTGACAAATTAGCGTTTTAAGGAGAAGAATTAAAGGCAATTTCTGACTCCTATGCTTAATACATGTACAGTAGGTGATATTTTGTTTAATTTCTTGATTTAAAAAAATAATAATAATAATAATAATACGCCCTCTTCGGTAAAATTGGAGAAAAATATCGTGGAGGTAAAAAATAGGATTTCTGTAATTTGCTGCGATTAAAAGTGAAAAATATTTTTTTTAAAGAGTGGGGGCCTATATGATCATAAATGTTTTCACCCGGATGTGACCCGTAGAGAGTGACTCCGTTCTGGTTATTAGAAATGCAGAAGACATGTCAAAGTTTACTTACCTAAATGTAAAATCCGATTTGTCTATATCGTCACCGCACTGGCTGTCGAGTAATATTCCACTATTACCTACTACACTGCATCTATCGTATAACTTTTCCCTGAATGGTGAGATCTGTATTGAGGAAGAGTCAAAAAGTCGTACTCATCAGAGAAGTTGGGTGGGTAAGGAGAAGGGTGTGGGGCGTTAGGGGTGTCGTGTGAGGTGAGGAGAAGCAGTGGTGATAAGGGGTGTCACCTCATTCATGATGATAATAACTGACTAAAATTATGTTCATATATTTACCCAGCAGTATAATTATTACTCTTCCTGCGGGCCCTGCCATTTTTTCTGCCCCAGCTTATCATGTGCCCAGTAAAGCACCTATGTCAAGCGGGACAAAGTGTGGGGCAAACCTGGTCCAAGTATGCAAACACCGGGCAAAGACCGAACCAAAGATCCCTCGTATTAGAATCAAGAGGCTTCACCAATATACTATACATGTGTACCAAGTTTTGAAAAAATGTGTGAACGAGACAGTGACATACTGCATAACCTAAACATGACTTTTTATAGGCATTACAATGGACGTGTTTTTTGCCTTTGTGATCTTGTTTGTTAGTCCACAAACGAAGTGTGAGGTTCGCCAAATGATATGTGGCGGGAAAGCCCCTCCCCCCCCCCTTCCCACCACATATCATTTGGCGAGATGGATGTCATATGAGACAAAATGTCATCGAGATAGATGTGAGTAGGAGTAAGTCAAAATTTGAGTTGTCTCCCCTATTCTCTCTCTCTCTCTCTCTCTCTCTCCCTCTATCTCCCCTCTCTCTCTCTCTCTCTCTCTCTCGCTCCCTCCCCCTCTCTCTCTCTCTCCCCCTCTTTATCTCCCCGACATTTTTCTATTTTTCCTTCCCTAAAGATAATTGTGGAGCGCCAGGAATGTCGAGTCTGACATATGAGCGCTAAACAAGAACCCTCTATTATTTTATTATGTATAATTATCATGAATATTGTAGCGGTGTTGTGGGCGGTCTTCTCGACCACAAATAACATTACCAGTCGGCTCGAAACTCGGGACGATGGCATGCACGACGGTGTGACTCGATACTTCTTAAAATAAAAGTCCACATATTGGCCATTTGGTGTCCCTTTATATGTATTGATTATGAAATATAAGTGGACATCAAACGCATATTTACTTGGTCTGATACAAGCCTGTAACAAGTATTGCAAATTGATACAATGATTATCATTAGATATACTGAAATCTTAGATTTGGTCGATAACAAAAAGGACAAAACAACGTGGACAAGCCAATGCAGATAAACACGAATACACGTTAACGCTGCATCCCTCCCCCCCCCACCCCCCCCCCCCCCACCAAAAATACTACTCTTCCACCCATCAAAAAGGTGTAAGTAAAAGTAGTTGAGTGGTACATAATCTTATTTAAATATGCTCCAAAAGTGTATTGTCATGCAAGACAGTGTATAAAAAGACGACAACAAAATCATACATTTTACGACCTTTCGCCCACTTAATAGGCGTCGCTAATAACCTTTTTTGTGTTTAATCTTAAAGGCACTCAGGCTTGGAGATTCAGACGTACTTGATTAATCATATACAAAGGACGCCCTGACATTTCGCCCACCTATATGCGTCACTGGATCCTTCTTTGTGGGGGGGGGGGGGTGTAATGGCACCAAACATACGTTGCGCCTTCTTGCAACGCCCTACCATGGCGTATTCAGAAAGACAGTAGTGACACATGGTCTAAGTTTAAATCATGTTGCTCCACATAGTTCTCTCCTACGTACAATCTCTATGAGAGGGAACTATTTGAAACTTCATTAACATGACAGACCAATCAGAAGCAACTTCCGGAGACCTAACTATCTCTCTCTCTCTCTCTCTCTCTCTCAAGTAGCTATGCAACCTACACTTGTTGATCTAGGGTACGATTTAAGTTGATATTTGTCTCGAAAGACCTATAAAAACCACGTGCAAGATGGCCTTGCAGAACAGAAGGTTCCCGGGCGTCAGTAGACCTTCAATGTTTCTTGCAGTATGTTTACAGTACCCCTTATTCTTACCAATGAGACCGACACCAGACCGAAAACAGACCAAACAAAAATTGCATTTCGACGCAAGAATCGGACGGTTTGGAGTCGGTTTAGAGGTGGGTACGGATGTATACCATTGTACCATGCCCATGGACCTACTAAGTGGACCTATGGTTGTACTATACCTAAGCTCTCTTATGTAACGATCCTTCCACCTTTTATAATGTTTTTATCCTTTTTTCGGTGGCTGAGGGAAACAGAGCTTACACGATTCAACTTCAATAGATTATTGGTCCGAGCATCGGTTCAATGATTCCATTTTCCTTTAATCCCATTCCAAGACAAGATTGATCTAAACAACTTTCTTTCGAGATTATAAGGCGTGTAGTGGTCATGCAATTGCCTTTTGAAAGAAATGGTATGAAGGGTCTGGGCAGCAATTTGGAAAAACTTTACGTAAGAAACATTGTATGGAGTGAGGCTTTTGTTTAAATCAAATGTAAGCTGAAACATGTAAACTATTTTAAGAATACACTAGACAAGTACTGGTCTAAAAGCCAGGATCTTGTCTATGAGCCTGTATTATCTTTATAAGCTGATACTTGACATTGCAAGTTTGCACACATGTTTGCCCCCCCCCCCCCCCCCCCCCCCCCCCCACTTCGGGGTCGGAATGACCGCGTGCGTGTTACCAAAATGTCTGGTAAAAAGGGGTACTTTTCACGCACCAAAGTCCGGCTCGTACATTCACAAAATTGACTTTACACACCGGGCTTAGGTGGTGTTTTCAAGAGGAGGAAACACGCATATGCGTACCCTAAATAACACTGAGTTGGGGAGGGGGGGGGGGCGGGGCCCTTTCCCACTTATTTAATTTGAGAAGACAAGGATAACGTTTAACCACTGGAGACTACATATTCGATCGATAAACAGGCATATAGTCCTTTAGCATCGCTGGATTAAAGTAAAGGAAAGTAAGGATGTTGACCGAATCTATGCCTCGAAATTACATACATACATCATACACTCAGTCTGTGAAAGACACTGTGAATGGTCTGGTCTGAAAGCAATTTTCGAAAGCAATTTATAATAATTGAGGTATAAAATGAAGTTTCGGTATGATAACAAAAAAGATTTATCTTGCTGGAAATGCCACGCATTGCACACAATACATTGTGAAACAACTGTTTGAATGGTTTCGAAGTAATTGCATTGATAATGCATTGTATGAGAACTAGAATGTATGATACTGTGAAGTTTAGGATGATCTAAATGAGAATACATAATCCATAGACGAAAGACTTCATGCATGGCTAATTGTCAACCAAACGGAATAAGATACTATGTCCCTTTTGCAGCCAACATCAAATTATGTAGAACTTTGCAGGAATTATTAATATGTCATGTATGTCATATCTGTGAAATTTAAACGTTAGCAGTGTCCTAATATTCAAATTATGCAAAAAAAAACTTTTACTTGCTAGACTTCATTGTCAGACACTATTGAGTGACTGACTGGCTTTTTTTTCTTCTTTGGAAATTACATACACAAAATGAGCTGTAAAGGGTAAATGAGCATTTGCCTACATCAATAACCCATTTTTTGTAATGGCCAAAATTAAACTGATTGAATCTTTGCGCAGCATAAGAAGTACGACCATTAGGTACAATGGTCTAAAAATCAGACTATTACTTTCTGGCGATTCAACAACTAATATAGTCGTTATTTTCCCAGACATTTTCAAGCTCCCATTTTGTTTAGGGAAGTTCTCAATTAGTATTATCTTTCAATTGCCTTTGGAATTTAACCTTTTCATTTTTGGGGCCTGAAAATGGGACATAGTACCTTGAATTCTTTTGTAAACTCTGTAAGTTGTTTCGGCAGGCAGCCAGTGAAAACGAATTCGTTTAATACATGAAAATGCAAGCATTGCTTTCATCAAACAGAATTGTATTATTCCTAGCTCATTTTTCCTGATTGACGTGTCATATGAAAGGGCAGAAAATGAACTTTCTAGACACGTGATTTTCTCTTTGAAAATCTGATACCGTCAGCCAAATGACTTTTTGGCTCTCTTTGTTCAAATTGATTTCAACCACTCATGCGTGAAATATGCATCATATGAGTTGCATCAAATGAAAGAGGGGCATCTAAGCTTTACAAATAATTAAGTTATGATAAAACATCGATAATTCTCGGTTTCGTTTTTTTCTGGGACGCACTAATAGCATTTTGGTTGTTAATAGATACTGCCACAGCCAACTTCTGTCCTACATACAGTGCACATTATGGAACATATATGTACACAACTTATGGCAGTCTCAGTATAAGATGAATACCAGATGAGACCAAACACGGTTATACTATAATTGGGGCTTGAAGTTTTCATTTTCACATAGGTGTACCCAACCATCTTGCATAATATCCATGAGTAGCGCCAATACGTGGACAAATAAAAGAATAATGAAATCGTTGTAGATATTGACCATCGTAAACCAGTTTTAATTTTCCTCTGGTAAACGGATATGTGTTTCAAGTTCAACCATCACTGACTATTTGAACCAAAACACAGCTGCTACATGTAGATGTTTGATTGCCATTGTCTCCGGCATGCGGCAATTGCATGACAATGTCGAATTTTTAGACCAGTTATTCACCAAGATAATTTCTATACAGCGGCTCGAATATCACGTGTCCCGTTTTTTATTGTGTCATTTTGGAATCGCGAGATAATGTTCTGAACAACATGCGGAGAGCCCAGATGGAAAGGCAGGATACATTTTTTAATAAAGCCATCTGTTCCCACAGAAATAGACAATGGGATTGAACATCAGTAACCGCAACACATACAAGGGCAAATTCAAATGGAATTGGTCGATTACAATCTATGCACACGTTATGTATATATTTGTGTCATGGTAAAAATGAAGAATCGAAGAAGTTGTTTGTTTGTGGGGGGGGGGGGGCATGTTTTACCTCAATGTGATATTGTTGATGGCTCTTTCTTAAATTGAGTTGAAATTTATTTATGAAATAATAATAATAATAATAATAATACTCAGTTTTTAAATAGCGCTTATTAGAATCACTAAGCGCTACCAATGAGCGAAATAAATATGGTTAGGTCATAACACAAAGCAACAGACTGCTATGTTCATAAGATAGGCATGGCGTAATTCAAGATTCAAGATTTAAGATTTATTTATTTCTTTCCGCTTGCATCAAAACATTACATTCATGAACAGTAACAAAAAGTTCATCGTCAACTAGAATAAATAAATTAACAATATAACAGTTATAAAGACTTTAACAAATGTGGAAAACAAAACATTCTGAAACAAAACATAAATAGTGTGATTACTCACCTCTGGTAATTTTCCGAAAAGGCCATCGTTCATGTGGTAGCGATAATAACTGTCGGTTTTAACCAACGCCTTAGGAAAGATATAATAATCCAAAGTCGAGTTCGATGCGCTACTGGTTTGTGATATCACAAAATCCGCTGCGTCAATATTTGAATGATTCCGAAGCTCGTAACTATAGATGAAAAAAAAAAGATATAACGCGTATCAAATATAAGCTCGTTACTATAGATGGAAAAATAAGATATAATATTTATCAAATATGGTTCATCTTTCAAATCTTTAAAATGATGAGTATATATGAAGATAATTGATAAGAATAATAAAAATGATAATGTTGATTATAATGATAGTATTAATTGGTGGTAATAATAATAATGATTAAAAAAATGAATAACAAGTGATGAGATGGAGAAAAATAAGCAAATGAAGAAGAAGGATGAGGAGAAAAAGAAGATGAAGAAGAAGAAAAAGGAGAAAAAGAAGAATGAAAGTAAGAGGAAGGAGAAGAAGAACGAAAAGGAGGAGAAGAAGAAGAAGAAGAAGAAGAAAAAGGAGAAGAAGAAGGGTTTTTTCTATATCTTTATAGTGCCGGTTTATCCGCCAGCTCAAATTAGTTAAACTTTACTACTGCTCGTAATATACACAGTTGAAATAGTATCAAAGATTCAATTACGAACATTTCGCCATGTTCAATCAACATTACATCACAATAAATAAAGGCCTTGTGTCTGCGCGCGCAGCTGTTTTGCGCCGTTTGACCCGGGAAGCAGATGGGGATTCCCCTTTTCTCTCCTCCAGGTGCTGGAGAGACATCCTGGAGATTTGTCTCGAGCGCTATTGGAAGGAATCCTTGTAAAGAGCTGTTCAGATGAAGCATGAAAACATTTCAACACCTTTGGTTTTCTTCCACTGTACACAATTCTGCTCATGTTTCAATATGATAATATGCTCAACTCTTCAGTATTTTGAACTGAATTCAGCAAGAAAATTATTTTTTGCCAGGCATTATTTTGTGCACGACGAATATTTCGCTGTCGTTGCTCCCGTTACCATGCCAAAATCAGGTTTGCAATTTAATATTAACCAAACAATACAACAATAATATTATTACTGCTATTTGTGGTATCACTGTTTTTCTCTCTCTCTCTCTCTCTCTCTCTTTACCTCTTCCGATTGACTTTAATCATTATTCCATTTCAGATGCGCAATATGCCTGTCTCCATTACAAGCGCAACGAAAAAATAAATTGTATATTTTGTTTTCCTTTTTTTTATGCGATCGCGAGTCCATTAGTTCATAATTTAATTTATTTCAAAACAATAATAAATAATCAAGAGTGTGTGAGTAGGTAATAAAAATTGATGAGGCAAACCGGCAACACCATTAAGGAATTGTAATGACTCTGACGTTATAAAAGCAAATTGAAACAGAGTGGAGGGACCCAACAGGAAAACAGAGAAATAGTCGCTGGTGCGTTGGCACCCTATGTACGGAAGATTGCCTGTAAAAATGCCACGTAATTTTTCATTTTTTATTTTATATGAAAATCATGGACAATAAAATCAACTCCCCCCCCCCCCCCCCCCACTCAACATTAGCATTCAACTTATTCCCGGAAAAAGGAACTATGTTATTTAGCCACGAAGATGAAATATGAGCAGAGAGAAAATGAAAAATGAAAAATGAAAATGAAAATGGTACTGGTTGGTATTTTTCCGATGGTGACGTCTGAGAGAAAAAAATGAGTCCCAATCATGTCTATTGTAGATGGATCAGCTGGATTGCGATTCAAATACATTATTCAGGACATGACTTATTTTAAGGGTTGATATGGTCACAGGTCGTTCTTCAAATTGGCAACAATATTTTGCTTGTATTTTCACACTGTCCGACCAAAATAAAATGTCTCTGAAAACAATATGGCCCGAATGGCCCGAATTCACAAAGGTTTGTCGACAAACCTCCTTTTGTTTTTTTACAAACCAGGTTTGTAAAAAAACGCGTCAAAACGCGTCATATGAGTACATAAACCTTGGTTTGTCGACAAATCTTCTTTGTGAATTCGGGCCTATGCGTGGGTAGAAACTCTGTCGAAAAGTTGGTAAAAAGGGTCATCTTTGATCGAAAAACAATGATTTTTAACGTCTCAACATGTTGCCAGTCTAAGGATTTTAAAGCTTATTTTCCTATTTAAATTTCCTGGCATAAAACGTTATAGTATGTGGTCATGCAATTGCCTTTTCTACTCATGCAAATGTTCTATATTTTTAAGGCTTTGAATCAAAAGTTATTGAGCCAAACCACAATATGTGGATTGAGTGTTTTGAACATTGACAGGGAGTGGGAATGAGGACCTAAAATATATATCAAGATTTTACCTCATTCGTCGTAGATTTCTTTTGTTCATTGTCCATTCAGATGTTAATATTCTCTGATAAAGGTATACTCTTTCAGCCTCGGCCCGTCGAAAATGCCATAATTTCTTTGTAAAAAGATGAATCCTGTTGGGGGAAAAAAAAAATCAGTTTACTCTTGAAATCAAAGTCAATAAAAGACCAACATCATGCATATCTCATCGTATTGCAACTCCTTGTATCTGTATTGTGCATACATTATAGCGATTATTTTCATTATCAATTCGATTCATTTCAGTTCAAAGTTATATTTACTTTCTTCCAATTCGTTTGTGTTTTATATTGACAAAATACTCGAGTATTTAGTGTATACATTGCGACGTGAATACATTTGAAGTAAAATGACATGGTCTGCGCGAAGAGAAGAAAATATTTATACAGAATGATATTGTAAACTTTGAGAAATTTCAGGAATGTTTTGGCTTGCACCCAGTAGATACAAGATCGAGCACGCAATCTAAACCTACTGGGTAAAAGCTAGTTTTTCCCTCTTTATTATTGATGCTGGAAAAATAATCAGTCTCAAAATAACCACAAAGGATAACATTGTGTGTGTTGCTATAAACACTCAATTTGTTTGTTTTGTGGTATCAATATGAATACTGTGGGGCGTTTATTCTTCTTCCCAAGGATAATATTTGTTGGAGATTTCGCTTTTTCACCCAATTGTCTACGACATGTATAGTTCGCAACTAAGGAGTACTCAAGAGGCATTCTTCACATTAAGGGCTGTATAAGTATTACAAGAGGAAATGAATTCCGGAATGCTGTCCTTGAAACCTGAGTTAATATTGCTGGTTCATTCTCTCGTTGCACTTACAGGCTTGGATAGCTCAGGATAAGATTGATATACACTATAACAAATAGTAATACTTAAGCATTGGGAATGCATGACTGAAACTACTTGGAACGATAAAAAATCCCCTTCTTCGACAATAATTTTCAGAACTATAAATACTTACTCGTCTGTTTCGTTTTCTCTTATGTCAAACTTCTTCACGTCGAATTGTTGCATCAGTTTAGATCTAACTGCTTCTCTTCTGTCAATCTCCCTTCTCCTAAAAGTACAAAGCATTAAAGATAGAATAATATTATGTTAGTAAAGAAACAAGGCTCCAAACGGCCTCTATTCGGGGGGGGGGGGGAGCACACGTTCCTTTAAAAAATTGTCATGATGGAACTTCTCCTGAAAACATTGAAAAACTCCCCCCCCCCCAAACAAAAACAAAAATTGTGGGAGGGTGTTAAATTATAATGTATGGAGAATATTGTTTAGGCTCTATAGGACCATGTAAGTGACTGTGTAGGCAACCTTAATGAAAACAAATTCTCGCTTGTACGCTACGATTCCCCACGTATAAATGAAATGAATGAAAAATACATTATTATCTAATATGATGATCTTTTAAAAATTCTTGACCTGATGACAAATCTATCTTGGCAATTAACTGAGGATCGACGTGATTATGTTCTATCTACACTGGTGTACCAATGTGTTCACGGTCTTGCCCCCATCCCGTTTATGCAATCAGATTGAAATTTATTTCGGTAGACATGGACTGAATACGGGTAATGCTAATTCCCTGTTGTACATGTGCCACTTTAACCAAATATTCAACTCTATTGTCAGTCTTTAAAATATGACGTGCTAAAGTATGGAATCTATCACACAATAACTTTCAAAATGCCCCATATACGTAGTCCCATATACACCTTTCTTTATACTTTACCAAGACTGGGCCAAATTTCTTATGATTTTGATGACTCCAGAACCTTGCATTACACACCAATACTTATATGATACACTATCATTTTTTTCTGATCGATTCCACACCGTTCCTTTCACAATACAATTGCATGACCAGAACTCAACTTTGTCTTTCAATAAGGACATTGTCTAGTGGTAACCCTTATAAAAAAGTACCATGGTAACCATGTTTTTTTTGTCCAAATTATCATCCACCATGGTAACTATGGTTTTAAACAATGATAAACATAGCTATGTATTTTATTGTTTGGTACCATGATCACCATGGTTACCACTGTGGATGGTAATTTGGACAAAAAACATGGTTACCATGGTAACATGGTACTTTTTTGTAAGGGAAGGACTCGTTTCGTTGTGGCTGCAATATCCCAGGTTTGAATCCTGGTCCCGGCAAATTTTCCTGACGAATTAAATTTACGAGATTGTTCTTTTGAGGCAACATAAACGTCAATCCAACCCGTAATTATAACCCCAAAATATAATCTCTACGCTCAATTCTTTTCAAAATAGAAAATGGAATACTGTCCTACTTTTGAGAATACAGACTACGATAACAAAACATTGTCAGTGATACGTTATGACAAAGCATTCTTTTAATGGAGGTGTTTTTTCTTCTTCTTCTTACAGATGCACCCCCTGGAGTTAGAAATGTTGATACCTAATAATCATGTGCTTACGATTAAATCAATATGAATCTTTGGTGTATTTGGTAAGCCTTTCAACCGTGATACATCATTGACAGCTACTACATGTATGTAGTAGTGAAACTTCGTGGGTACAAATTTGCGTCACTCGTCCGCATTTCATTATAAAAGAAGAAAGCATTCAGCTATAAAACCGTGACAAAGAATGATACATGCAGAGCTGCCAACCTCAACTGAACAAAAATCCTATTATTCCCCCCCCCCCAAAAACAAAAAATATATAATTATAATAATCCTATTTTCAAAATAAAATCCCTATTTTTGATCTCAGTGCGGAAATGCGTATTTTTTTATTTATTTTTTTTTATTTATTTTTTATTTTTTTTTTATTTTTTATTTATTTATTTATTTATTATTATTATTATTATTTTTTTTTTTTGGGGGGGGGGTTCCATTTTGCATAAGTTCCTACATAAAGGAAGAATTTTTTTAATGGACGAATGGTTGAATAAGCGTGATTTCGTCATGACTGATATGTTCGATGCACCAATGAACGTTCCCAAATTGCCGATGTGAGACGCTTGTAGGATACTTTACAAGACAGAATGGGCCAATTGCCACTGCCATTGAATTGGCACAAAAACACACACACCCACACACACAAAAAAATATTTTTTGAGGAAAAATCGTACGAAATACGATAAAATCGTACTGGTTGGCAGCTCTGTACATGTAATGAATACTGTTGATAATGATGATGATGATAATAATAATAATAATAGTAACATTAATAATTATGATAATGATAATAATGATGATGATAATAATGAAACAAATATTAATAATAAAAGATACATGTAATAACAATAATATTTCCAAATTCTACGCAATCGTACGTTTTCAATAGTGTTGGAAGTCCATTTATTTATTCTATTTTCTTATATCATTCCATTATGTAAAAACGATTTATATCCGTGTTTCCATATGAATATGTCTTTGTACATTTGCTACTGTGTATGTTCTATTGTATAGTTTTCATGTGCTTATGTAATGCCAACAACTGAATTTCCAAATGGATCAATAAAATTAATCTTAATCTGAATCTGAAAACGGAAATTTAACGTTTATTAATACCATCTTCTATTCAAATCAATATGATATCAGAGCTCTATATTCGACAGCTGCAAAGTTGAACTCTGTTATTGAGAATGCATGTTTGCTTTTTAGTAACGGTTGATAAAAGTATATCAATAGAGTTGTGAAGACGATTGTATAGCCAGTCCCTTTGTAATGGTAATTCAGCAACAGATCTGCGCAAAAATTGACAATGTTTTCCCCTTTTCTTTCGGTTTCGAGGACAGAATATCGTATTCAAGTCTGGCATGCATCGTGACCTCAGAACCGAGTTATGCGTATATACAAAGGTACAAAGCCCATGGAAGCTAATTTTTGTTCTCCTGTTGCCTCTGACCTAAAAATGCTAACCTCAATCTTTTTGGCTTTAAACAATTTGCACTTACACAACAATCTTTTTAATTTGTTATAATAAAGGCCTTTTAGACATTGAATGGGATATTTTCATCAATATCTGTAAACAAATAATTTTGTTACCATTTTATGGCTTGGGGAAAAAAAAAATAAACAGTAATTGTTTTTGTTATGTTTAGACCTGTTGCTCAACTGCTGTAGCTCTATGATATATCAGTAAAATATTCTTTGGTACTGAGTTGTATTTTTTCCATAACATATCATGCCCTCAACTGAAACCGAATTTCGTGAATGCATTTAAACGTTCAAGAAAAACATTTACCTCCTAGCTATGCCAGCGCTAACACAAGTTTGGTTCCTGAAAATTGGATTGTGTTTTAACGGGGTATAATTATGTATAGATACACATACATAACAATTTTCACAGTACATTTATTAAAAACATGCACCCTAGAAAATAGTACGTGTACATTTCCTTAAAGCCCGTCTGTACTAGTTTGGCCAGGAGGGATTAGACCACCCAGCGTGGTCACTGACAGGTGGCTATCGCATCAACTCAGCTCTCAATTAACCTAAGAAAATGAGGATCATGGGGGACCAACGGGCACCGCTTAGGCATTGTTTTTGATATAGAGGGAGCAAGTATAGCTACAAGACAGTAGTACAGTGGGGCTTTAAAACAACCCCTTTGTAAAATGTTTTTATTTGTATGGTATTTCCCTCAAAATATTCTTGATCATTTTCTCTCATTTGACATACAATTCCCTCACTCCGTAAACCTTCTTCTATAAAGGAGTGCGTCATTCTGAGATTGACCGCGGACCGGTTCAATGCTAACACTTTTGTCGTGGGGGGGGGGGGGGGTGGCTAGGCCCACAACTGACCCGCGAGTATATAGCAACACATGTCACTTTTGTAATACTCTATAAATTGCAAATATTATTGGGCTTGCATATGCATAAAAGACATTCAAAGAGCCTATTTTACAAGCTAGAGCTCATTGACTCTGCATATTTGCCATACAGAAGACAAACATTACACAAATTTTTATATTGGACAAATAATTCGTCATGGTCACGGCCGAAGCTACGTTAGCTACCTACCAGTTACCGAAATGAAGTTTATTTCAAAGCATTGACATTCCATCGACAGGAAAAATTTACGGCGTCGAAAGCCCCCCCCCCCCCCCCCCCCCCAAAACCTTACGCTATTATCATATAGGATTATTATGGAGAAACTGCACTGTCAATTATAAATCTTGTGACTATTTTACACTTTATTTTCCAAGACACTGATTTCCTCATACATTGAACCAACATCATGTATTACACGTGTACACTTATATTCATTAGGGCTAACTTGTAATATAAGTACATTGTGATGGTACGTGCCCATTAATACTACCAGTTTATTACAAAGCTTTCCTGAGCACTGCCTTTTCAGATTGTGAGCTTGCTGCAAAATTAATAATGACACCCAAGATCCAATAGAGTATACATATTAATATAACCCGCTTTTTAAGCATTTATTTATTCAGTTTTCTTTTGAATACAGGGTGGTCCCTTCAGAGCCGCAAGACCTGCTTTTTATGCATTTATTTATGTATTTATTTATTCAGTTTTCTTTAAAATAGTGGGTAGTTCCTTCAAAGCCGCAAGGCTTGCTTTTCAAGGTAGCACTGTAGAGTGTAGTCAAGTGACCAAGTACATATGTTAACAATTACAACAACAAATTAAAAAAAACATATACATAATACACAGTTATTTACTAATAAATAATCGGGTAAATCACAGATTTAGTTTTACTAGAATTTTTCATGATGGTAAATTTCAAGGTAAATCATTTTATCAATGCATATCTAGGTTATTTTGTAGTGTTTGTTGAACATGAGTAAAATTACTCCCTTTTGAAAAGATGGCAGTTTCGTCAGCGTACAAAGATACTTTTTACATGTGTTTGAAATTAAGATAAAAGATGCTAACTACTAACGGTCCCATTATCGAGCCCTGGGGCACCCCTGTTTCAACAGGTTAAAACATCACTCATTACGCCCTGATTAAGCCCTTGATTGAACGGAGCCCTAAGTGTTGGCATTTTCTCTCTTTCTGAATGGAACGAAATTTGCTCTAGTTTGTTTTGATATATGCATGAATTGAATGTAAGGCATATAGTAAAGGACTTTGCCTAAATAATTTGAGATAATTGATGTCTAAAAGATTTATCATGTACTTACCGATCGCAATCGGCTTTACTCCCACACACGCTATGAGTGGTGGATCTGTGAGCATGTCTGATCATGAGAGGTATGTAGACTACGAGCATGAAAACGGCTACCACTGACATACAAAATAGAAGTCTCTGAGCTTTCCTGGTCAGCATACTGGACTGTATGGTGGAGACAGATACAAGAAGGAAGAGAGCGAGAGAGGGAGAGGGAATTGAGAAGGAGACAGAGAGACAGAAAAGAAAATGATTAAAAGAAAGAAATAAAGATAGAGAATGGGGTGGAGAGACAAATTAATAAATGTGTAATTTGAAATAATACTGGCGTAAAATGTTCATATATAATAATTCAATGCAATTCAATTTTATTTCTGTTTCCAAGAAAACATTACGAATCAATTATAATCGTTTACAGTGTACACAAAATAAGGAATACATATTGAAAACAGAGGGGTCCACTTAAAAGCAATGCTTGTACAATTGTGGACCACTCAAATGATAGAAAGGAAAAATGAGTAATTGAATTAACAAATTTAAATTACAAAAAGGAACTAGAAATAGGAAAACAGATTATGCCAACGGTGTCGAGAACGGGACAAGAGAGTACTTTACATGACACAGATAGGAGAACACGGTAAAAATACAAGAATTAGACAATGCCAGCAAAGAATTCAGAGATCGGGGTACAGATAATAATACAAAAAGGATGAACTGCATGAGGGGTCCAGAAGAAGATGAGGAGGGACCTTTGCGCATTAGTCTGGAGATATGCATGAGAGGGCACACTCTAATATAACAAATCACATTTTGAGTCAGCGGGTAGAGAATAACCTTGTTTTTAAAAAAAAATTAAAAAAAGTTTAAAAAGAACGAAAGAATAATTGGGTGATACAATTCAATGAGGTTCATAAGATTGTAATAAAAGCAATTTCGATTTGTTTTTCCTTAAAAATATTATTCGATGGAGCATTTTTTACTTAAAGAATAGCACAATTTGGGGCCTTTATATATATATATATATGTATATATATATATATATAAATATATTTTATGCTAAGAGGGTCCGCAATATAGTAAATGAAATTCTCCCGATTGTCTTGTTGGGTAAATACGGACTGGGGTATTTAAAAAAAAAAAAATCTTGAGAAACAGATGGCAACATATTATTTTTATAATTATACATGAAGTGACCTAATAGAAAAAAATGAAAGTCTATTACCTTATTTCATTTTCAAAAAATAAAAAGTCTGTTGGGAGCAAAAGGGGGAATTACAAGTAATCCGAATAATCTTTTTTTTTTTGTAATAGCACTTTGTGTGTGATGTGTGTTTGATACCCCAAACTAAGACACCATAATTCAAGTATGGGAGTATCAAAGAACTATAAAGCATGATTAATGAATTAAAAGAAAGATATGTCTTTACTTGATTGATAATACCAATATACCAAAAAATGAAATGCCTTCAGTTATTTTATTCGTACAACATTCAACTCGATCCCAACAGATATTTGGTTGCAATTTACGTCTGATGTATAATCTTCACAAACTCTTTACGCTACCGGAGATGATACGTGTACATAACCTCTTAAAGGTACTGTCCATTTGCAGCCAACATCAAATTCTGTAGAACTTTGCAGAAATTATGAATATGTCACGTACATGTATGTCCTATCTGCGAAATGTAAACGTTAGCAGTGTCCTAGTATTCAAATTATGCAAAGAAATCCGTTTACGTTCTAGACTTCACTGTCATACACTATTGAGTCACTGACTGACTTCTTTTTTTTCTTTGGTAATAACATATATACATGAAATGAGCTGTAAAGGGTACATGAGCATTTGTTTACATCAATAACCCACTTCTTGTAATGGCCAAAATTAAACTGATGAAATCTTTGCGCCGCACAAAACGTACACCATTCAGTACAAGGGTATGTAAATCAGAATCAGAAAGATTGCAATCCCTAAAATCGATGCGACAACTAACGGTCGTTATTTTCCCACAAAAAGACATTTTCAAGCCCTTTCCTTTTGAGTTCTAAAGTAGTATCTTTCAAATGCCGGTGGAATTTAGCCTTTTAACTTTTTTAAAGCCTGCAAATGGGACATAAAATGTAGTATCCAGTGAAGGTCTATCATTTTCAAGTACTCACAGGGTTTTGAACGCACCCGTTTTCTTCCCCGGCCTATGAGAATAAGTAGGACTTTAGTTTCTTGTACATACATGTATAAAGGTGTACGCCTATATACACCTACTACTCGTGAAAGTGTTACGGTATTTGCATGCCCTCATCTTATGGTCGGTTGAAAAGAATCGCTGACCCCCCTTTCAAAAATGGTCAGTGGTCTGGCTTTGTTGCAGCCGATACAAATGGCTGATTTTCATGTCATCACGAGAAAAAAAAATCTTTTGTTCCTTTATTTGAGAAACAAGCGTGATTCGCTCGCCTGTAATCTCCTTGGTATAAAACTGCAATAGTATCATTGCATGTACTGTGTATGCCCATGCACGTCCTACTCCTTTGCTCAATTATTGCATTATGAATGTGATCGAAACAACATTGAAGCATGTCAAGTAAAAATAGTGAAAGAGATGTTTACTCATGTGTGTTTACCATGTAATTGATATGAATTTGTGTAAAGGGAGTAGTGAGAACATGACGTGCTTTTGTATAGGATAAATCAAATAAAGATCTGATGAACCTCATTCTCTGTAATTTACTCGGCACACGTAAAAAGTGTTTAAAGGGAAAGTCCACCCCCAAAATAAGTTTGTTTCGATAGAGGCAGAATAATAAGAAAATCAGGTGAGTGAAAGTTTGAGCAAATTCTGAATGAAAATAAGAAAGTTATGAATTATTGAAGTTGTGATCAATCAAATACAAATTGGCAACTCTGTGACTTATTATACGAGCTCTCCTTCATTTGCTTTGTGCATAATATTCCATAAAATCATGTTTTCTTCGTTATTGATGATGGAATATATATTTGTTCCTTGCAGGGGGAGTATAGAAACATATTTGCAATTATTATATTTAGGGTGCATGTACGGTTGAAATTTTTCTTGAGGGAAAATGAAAATTTTAGATTTTTTTAGTACTGAGCAAATGGAAGTTGAGCTCGCATGATACGTCATAGAGTTGCCAATTTGTGTTTGATTGATCACAACTTCAAAAATCCTAACTTCCTTATTTTTAATCGGAATTTGCTCAAACTTTCACTGACGTGTTTCTCTCATTTTTCTACTCCTATTAAAATTAACTTAATTTCAGGGTGGACTTTCCCTTTAATATCGTCCGGACGATGACAATTCAGAAATTCCGAATTTTCTGGATCAACTTTAAATAACATATGTAGCTTATAAAGTTCCCCACTTGTTGAAAGATACCCCTCTACACCTCCCACACACATATATACACACAAACACACACGCACACACATAAAACACATATTTAATCAATTCAACACAAGATAATGTGAAACATTCTCCATATCTGCTATGAAGAGCAAGGTAGCCCGCAGTTCTACTGTCTACAGTCCTTGAAATGTGTGTGTGTGTGTGGGGGGGGGGGGGCATTCTTCTTTTCCCCACCCTGCTACGCTCGGGATAAAGAGAGATTCTTTGGTAATAGAGAATCGGTCATCCTTTGCGGGCCTCTTTTTTTATGAATACCAACCACAATAGAGAACCATGCTTAATCAACTCTGAACAATTACTGTATGGAACGTCATTATTCTGAGAACGGCATACGTCCCTTATATTCAGTGCCTGTGAGAGATACCACTCGAACACTCTATTAGAGTATACAGTGAAACATATAACTCGAGTTTTGTAAAATGCTACGTTCACGAAATGTACGTGTCTGAATACGCGCGCATGGAAAATTCGCGAAGTAAACATATTATTATTATATATTTTCTGAGTTATTATTATTGTTTGTATCATTATCATTATCGGTATTACTTTTTCTTTTAACATAATCATTCTAATCATTATTATCATCGTCCTCATTATTAGCTGACGGAACTTCATATATTCAGTACTTCTGTTCAATCTGCCACTATAACTTAATGGACGTCGAAGTTTGGCACAAAATAATCATCCAGATGGTATTCACAGCATTACGTTCTAAATTTAACATGTACATTGAAGCAATCTGAGCATACGTAATTTCATAATATAAATGTACATGTACACATGGCCAATTACCCAAGCCCTTTGTCATTGGTCTTTTGTTCAATTGTGATTGTCCATTTGGGAAGTATTGCGGACAGTCGCCATTTTTCAGGCGCGCGCTTACTAACCTAAACATCCTAATGTTGTGGAGGTTTCCTGATATTAAGGGTTCGAACCTCAGCCCGACACTAACGTCTTTAGGCAAGACATTAATCATTCTTTTGCCACTCTCCACCCAGGTGTAAATCTGGGGCAAATATATTTGACGGACTTTCAGGAACAACAACATTGAAGCTGTTGATGCTTCCCTGGGTAAACAACATTTTCATAACTATTATTATTTTTATCATTATTATCAATGTTATTATCATCATCATAATAATAATTACTATTCTTTCTCCTTTTCTTATTCTCCTACTTCGTCTGCTATAGCTTACTATATTACTACTGCTACTACTACTTTACTACTACTACTACTACTCCTTTACTACTACTACTACTACTACTTTACGACTACAACTACTACTACTTTACTACTACTACTACTACTTTACTACTACTACAACTACTACTACTACTACTACTACTACTACTACTACTACTACTACTACTACTTTACTACTACTACTACTACTACTAATACTTTACTACTACTACTACTACTACTACTTTACTACTTCTACTACTATTACTACTACTTTACTACTACAGTCAAACCTGTCTACAGCGACCACCCAAGGGAAACACAAAAAGTGGCCTTTGTAGACAGGTGGTCTTTGTAGACAGGTGGTCACTAAAGCAGGTTTGACTGTACTACAACTACTACTACTACTACTACTACTTTACTACTACTTTACTACTACTACTACTACTACTACTACTACTACTTTACTACTACTACTACTACTACTACTACTTCTACTACTACTACTACTACTACAACTACTACTACTTCTACTACTACTACTACTACTACTACTTTACTACTTCTACTACTACTACTACTACTACTTTACTACTTCTACTTCTACTACTACTACTACTACTACTACTACTGTTTCAGTCGCGGTACACGTGTCATACATGTACGGCAATATGTTAATCTACATTCACCACACTTCGCCTAAGTGTAGTGTAGTAAATTGGTTCAAGGTAGGGAGTTATTCCTCGAATGCTTTAAGCGACTTGGCATATGAGTGCATGCAGCTGGGCTAAAGCCATGAAAATCGGGATAGGTGGGCCATCCAGCATCCCTACCTGGGGGAGATAGGTGCTCAATCTCAATAAAAGCACATTAAGCTACATATTTAATTACCATTATTACATCATTAACTAATGTTCAATTTGTTGGTTTGGGCTATTGCAAACAAATTTGTGGCATGTTTATTTTAATAGGTTTTCAGCAAAATAGAGAGAGAATTGTAGAATATAACAGACATTCAAAGGAAAAAACGAGACAGGATTGCGAAGGTCGGAAAGATGAGGAAATAAAACTATGATCTCATGTCCTTAGATTGTAATAAATTCACTTTGGAAGTACCTGTTAAATATTCAGAGAAATGCCCATAATGACGTGTAGCTAAACTTTATGAGTCATTCCGTGATTTTCTGCCATAATCAACCTTATCCACAATAAACTAAATAATACGAAATTTCATTTTTCTGACGGACCGATTTTTTTTTTCCGTTGTGAATTATTCAACTTTTCACTCTCTATTTGTTGTCTTTGGATTAAAAAAAAAAAGTGATTGTATGTTCACAGTGTAACATTTTAAAGATTTGTTGTTGTTGAAATTTTGAGTTGACTAATATCCCCCTTCCCCATCCCATACTAAACACCATGCTACTTTAACGACGCTTCTGTTACTAGGACTTTACAATGTAATAGTAAATGTGTGTTAGGAACGACCCTGAACGTGAAAATATTACATTATTCAAATCTTTGTATCAACAAAATAAATGTAATTTTAATAAAAAACATTTTACGTTCCATGCAACTCTTGTCATCTCTTACTAAACAGGCATAATGTATATTCATTCCTTCATCATTTCCAATGTTTCATTCAACGTTGCTTTGTTTTTATGTACTGTAAAATAACATATTCAACTACCATGACTTTATGAATGCTTTTTTAGTTTTATGAAATGAAATATTATACTAGGCCTATATTGTAATATATACATATATATATATTTCCATTCCTTGATAACCACATTACAGGCAACCCATCATCATTATCACCAAACAGTTCATGCAAATCCTATATGTAAGTTTTTTTTATATTAAATTATGTCTTCATATTGTTATCTCCTCGTTGCCACTAAAAAATATAAATACACTTCATTCTCTGAATAATAGATTTTATTGTAAGCCGAATCAAGTATATCATGTTTGTAATATATCAAATACTATTATTATGAGCATGATCTGCACCGTATGGCAATGAGTATTATGACTTATGAGTAAATAAACTCATAAGTCACGATACTCTTTGTCATACGGTGCAAATCATGCTTATCATTTTCCGTCGTAATATACTGGCGTGCTCATCTTTTTAAAACAATTTCGAACAGATCTGGATGCATCAAAAGAGTAAAAATCACTTCAATGACGCAAAACATTCATATAAAGCACAAACTACGACGCAAAATGGCATTGCTATAATTATCTTCGGATTACGCGACAGTCTGAAATCGTGCTTATGGCGTGCTCATTTCTATGGCAAAGTTAAATACATTCTGTTTACAATTTAGAACAGATCTGAATGCATCAACAGAGGAAAATCATCATAGCAATGACGCAAAATATTCATATAATAGGCAAATAAAGCACAAAGTACGACGCAAAATGGCGTTGCGTATAATTACCTTCAGACTGTGAGACAGTCTGAGATATATGTTTCAATGCGGGAGAATAGTTACATACATTTGAATGAAAGTAGAAGAACGAAAGATTGATATCTGTATTATTTGCTTGTCTGAAGTGAAGAAGAAAAAAGAAAGAAAATATTTCGCTTTATTTTCGCCCATTTCATATCGAGGTGTGGTTCGATCAGTTCTTGTTGGCTTATTTGGTAACATGTAGATCACTACCATCGCTCCGAAGCGCTCCGAACGTGTATCAACGAGTAGACATACCGGTTTTATTATACGTTTCGATTTAGCCTGTATATATAGTCACATTGTAATGGGCAAATCGTCAACCATATATTCTCGTGCGCCCCCAAAAACAGACATTGGAAGAAGAAGAAAATGTTAAAAATGATGGACTTACCAGGCAATCTACATCCAAACTCGTATCGTGATATTCCAATGATCTCCCGCGCCGAGATGGCGTCTGGTATTGGTATTTGTACATCGCTTCGGAGTTGGTCTTTTGGTGGTATATTTCCACATATGCGTTCCGCAAGGAATGCCACCAGCGATTGAGAGAGAGGGAGAGAGAGAGAGAGAGAGAGAGAGAGAGAGAGAGTGGGTGGGGTAGTGATAGAAGCTACGTAACAGGGATCAATACAAATCAATAAACATGAAAGCGTAAGCTCGCACTGTCTACGCAGTGATAATTAGAAGCCCACTTTATAAGCCATACGAAGTCTAGTGGTTGCAGTAGTACACTTAGGTTCTTAGGTTGTACAGCATGGTAAATACAACGATTTCGTTGAACAATTCATATTCTACCTCTACCAGTACAGGATCCGTTTTCATATTGTCTGGTATTACTGCGGTATGGTATGTATTCCCGTAGGATTTTTTTGCCAAAGTTGATTTTTTGTTGTTGCTGTTTTGGCTGCAAAAGGGTCCCAATTGGCCAAAAATGATAGGGTTCAAATTTTCAGACCCCTCCTTCATTTCCTGGGGGGTCCATATTGGGCGCCAAAATGGCTTATATAAAGCGCAATAGGGAAATTTGGTGTCTTCGGGAAAATTTGAAACCCATCAATTTCTGATAGCTTGGACCCCAATGAATCCAAAATGGCAAAAAAAAAAAAAAAAAAAAAAAAAAATCCTACGGGAGCTGTTTTAGTGACATACCGTACCAGTTCGGCGATACAGATACGGAAAACGTATCCTTTTCAACAAATACCCTTAGTTATGTCAAGGAGTTTTAAGAGCTGGAGTCCATAACTGGCAACAAATAATTCCAAGCAGCTGCCGTTTTCTAAGGTTGCACAGTAGAATCTACAGGTGTGATGTTACCTTTGAATGTCCAAGGTTCGAGGCCGCCAATATAATTGGAAAGCTTGAGTAGTGATATTTTTTCACAAAGAAATATCGTTATTATTTCCCTTTTTATTTCAACAAGTGAAAAATCGAACAGATGATGAAATATGTATAGAAAAGCCTAACTGTGTCCAATTTTTGCCTCGATGTCGACTACGGATCGACTCCAACAGCGCCAGGACCATCGACAAGAGGCTACCCCTATCCAAATGAACGGACACACGTAGTAAATGCCACTGTTTAGTCTGACCGACCGGTAGCATTGTAGTGTATAATGTAGTACCATTGTACTTAGTGACAGTGATGCACTGATTATTATACATGCTGGTATTAACATTTTACAAATCCCGAAAGGTCAACTCCTACAAGTGCACTTAATTGGACTAAAATATCAGATATGTGTTGGATTATTAAGTGCATAATAACAATTGGGTCTCATTTACTCAGGGAAGCCACATCGGTACTGATAATGCTCTTCATTCGGGCTCTGTCATTATTATTATCACCCCAGCGCGTTGCCAGGCACCCACTTTTAAATTACAACCCGAGTCGAGAGTGACAACATGTGAGCAAATCAGCTTCTCCAATGCCCTCCAATGGAGCCCAAAACCTAAGGTTCGACAGTCAAGAGAGTAACGGTCCACCCGTCACAGTACATGTAGGCCGAAAATGACTAACTTTAAGATATATATGTCAACTTTAGTTTTGATGTGCGTGTGTAGTGGTGTGTGTGTGTGTGTGTGTGTGTGTTCGCGGGTGTGTTTGAGTTGCGCGTTTGTTTGTGTGTTTGTTTGTGTGTGACTTTAGCTTAGGGATATACCTGACGAGACTGCAATAGAGTACCGAAGTGTGACATCATATTTGCCAAGTTGTCAAGGTTGTTGGTTCCAAACAATGTTGTGCTAAAAAATGGCGTGGTGATCACACCAGCGCCGAATAATTTCTTTGTTGAATACAATTTTTGTCGAATGAAATTTTTGTCAAATAAAATTCTTGTCAAATAAAATTTTTGTAGGATAAATTTCTTGACAAATACAATTTTTGAACAATATGTCAAATAAAATTTATGTCGAATAAAATTCTTGTCAAATAAATGTTTTGTCGAATAAGATATTTCAAATAAAATTTGTTGTCAAATAAGACTTGTCAAATATTTTCTGAAAGTGTTGAATATTTACATTTGAGTGAATTTTTTTTTTGAGAGTGTCGCATATATTTATTTGTTTCCCTAAAGGCATGCCAAAGACGTTAGCACTTCGTTACTCTATAAATAATTTATCATTCATTAGGGCATAACTGTAAGGACTGATACAAAAATGTTTTTGTAGCGGGCATTTTTTGTACACTGATTTCTAAGAATGGTATTACAGTATTTACGTTTTACAATGATGTATTTTTTTTATCGTATCAAAATAAACAATATCCTGAGGCTGTGACGTAATAAAAAGTCCTGACGTAAACATTTGTTTACTTTTGTCACTAAAATATTGAAATATACAAAGGCCTATCCTTTCTGAGTAAATAATATTAATCGCATAAATAAATAGAGATTAATAATAGATGGATAAATAGGCCCAAATATTGATGCTGCAATTAAAATACTAATATAGATAATAATAATAATGATAATTAGCTTAAGTTGTTCTAGGCTCTATGTTCTTATTTATTCTATAGTGCCGTAGTTTTGTCTCTCCCATTGGTTTCTTTAAGGGGGACTGCACTTCTTGCAGCTACTTGCGGCCTGTATATAGCAAACAATAACGTCTATGCGGTACCCGTTGGTCCCCCATGATCCCTTTTTAAATGTTTATTGAGAGCTGATTTGATGAGATAACCACCTGTCAGTGACCACGCAGGGAGGTCTAATTCCAACTGACCAAACTAGTGTAGATAGGCTTTAACTTATTTGATAACTTAGATTTTTTTTAAATTATCTTCTTATCCAAAACTTTATTTGTAATACTGCTTAACAAGAACAGATATTCCTTTGACGACTTCATGCAGGCGCGTACCCAGGATTTTTTCAAGGGGGGGGGGGGTTTAACATTTTCAAATCGGGGCGATAATTTCGCACTCGACTCAGCCAGCCGCTGAATAAGCGGGGGGGGGGGGGGGGGGACACTTTTTTTTTTTTTTTTTTGGTCTCGAAATTTGAAAAATTGACATTTTGCTCCCAAAAACCCAAAGGGGGGGGGGGGGGGGGGGGTTATACACATAAAAATACCAAAGGGGGGATTAACCCCCCCCCCCCCCCAAACACCTCCCCTGCGTACGCGCCTGACTTCATGTATCGTAAAGTTGAACAAAATTGTAAATTGCGTTCGTTTACGCAAATACAGCGTCGACCTTACAGGTACTTGTTTATTTAAGAGCGCTTGACATTTCAGATCGATTATTGTGATGCTTGACAACTTTAAACTTGCATTAATTTTTCAGTTAATCGCATGAAATCGAATGGAAAATTGTTTAAGCAATGTAATTTTGTTAATCTTTAGCGCAACTGATATTCCATTCCGAGTGATGTATATAATTAATTGTATCATTGGAGTATTTGGAGATTTAGTTAAATGTTCAGCTCTGAACTATGTTTAGCCGCGGATCTATGCGGATAGGCGCACAGAATTTGGTGTTTTACTTTTGGTTCTAAGTCAATTAATGTGAAATTACGAAAATATCTATAACGAACTAGCACATCCTAATGCTTAGGTTCCACTATATACAGGCTCCTAAATCTACGCCTTGTTTGCTTATGCTTACTTCATTCATATTGGACCGAAAACGCTGTCTCTTTCCGACCCGACCCTATATATAGGGGCCGGAAGCGGGGGGGGGGGGGGGGGGTCACCCAATCGAAAAAAGTGTGTGTGTGTGTGTGGGGGGGGGGGAATTTTCACTCCCCCCCAAAAAAAAAAAAAAACGCCCCCTTCCTCACCCTCCCCCTCAAAAAAAAATAATCAGCAGTAGGCCCTAAGGGAGAAAAAACGGTTCGTATTTTGTTTTAAAAAAATAAATAAAAAAATAAAAAAACATGAATTGAATAACATAAACATTATATTCCATTCAAAGAAAAGGAGAGTAACAGGAATTAAATTTCGTAAACAGTCCACATGCCCCTATTTATTCATCAATGGAGGATTTTATAATAAAGCGTGTTTTTTTTAATTATAGGGGTGAGAAGACATGAGCCCCTGAACACTGGCGTACTGACGGGGGGGGGGGGGCATTTGCCCCCAAACAAAATTGCATTGTGAGCAGAGAGCATCATCCTGGCCTGAAACAGAAAATAAAAAGGTTCAGACATCATCATTATTCATATAAAAGGTTATATATCTCCTCCACTGATAATTGGCTTTAGTTAACGTTTCAACCATAATTCACTTATTAAAAATATAAACCAGCGGCTCCTTTTCAAAGTTTCATGTACTGATGTAGACCTCTTGACTATTGAAGTATTGTACTTGTATTAAAAGTTGTAGCCTAGCCCTATGCTGTATCCAGTGTAGACACCCTACAACAACCCCATTCTGATATCACTGATGAACTATTATAAATTATAATAATTATTTAATTAATTATTATAATTTCAAATCAAGAACAAAAAATAATACATTCACCTTATTGCTGCAGTAGCCTGCAGTCTCGTGATTATGCTTGCCCCAAGTTGAACTCGCCATCCCATGACCCTAGAAAGCAGGGGCGGTGATCCCGGGGGGACGGGGAGACACGTCCACCCCCTCATTTATTTATTTTTTTATTTTATTTTATTTATTTTTTTTTTTTTTTTTGGGGGGGGGCGTATAACAAATACTGACTAAAGTAAAGAGCAGCGTTTATACTTAAACTAATAGTAAAATGCACAAATCTTCTCACTTGGTCGCTACACTCCCTCGCATACTATCCTTAAAAATGAACAAGTAGAAAATATTGTAGAAAATAAAAGAGAAGTGTGAAAAAAGTAGAAATGTAGTCTACTTGTTTTAATACTAATAGTTTTGCTAATGTCATTTTTGTAACACAACAAAACTTCAGAAACCCGTGAGCATGGCTAGAGCCTAGAGGGTAGTCTCTTGAATACCTTGAATACCAAAGCTTCTGGAAGAAAGCCGTCTCCAGCTGCCAAGCTTCCAGGTCTAACTTCAAGGGGGGGGGGGGGGATGTCCCAGCTTCCGGGTCTTGCACCATAGTCGTTTTGCATCTAGATCTAGATCCATATCTTGCTTGCTGGGTCA